CTTTACATTTAAAAATTAATTTATAATTAATAGTTTATATTAAACCACTGGAAAATATTAAAATCAGACTATTCATTAATCATTAAATGAATAAATTTTTATTGATTAAATTGTATATTTTCTAAAAATAACAAATGTATTAGATGAAACTTAGAGATTTAAAACTTTAAATTTATATATTATTAATAAGAATTGAGATTAACTTATTATTATTTATTATTATTCTTTATAACAGACATTTGATTACTTATTTGAAATTTTTTTAATATTAAAAATTAGAAATACGTGTAATTATATTATGTTTGCCCAATAAAATGTCTGAACAATCTGTTTATAAATGCTTTTCATTCATAAAACTATATGTTTTGCAGTATTTTGCTAAATTAAATATCTTAATGATAGCGTTGTTGAATCATGACCAGGTATCATTATCAACAGTATACATTTTAAATGTTAAATTTTCTATTTATTTACAGTGTTATTGATGATAACCATGTATCCTTGTTTAAAAGTAAATATGATATTTATATGATTATCTATTACCAAAAATGTTGTTTGTTTTATATATTGTAATGATATATTGATTATATGCTAGGTCAAATGCACCCTAAAATTGCAAGATATTATCTATTCAGCGGGGGTCCCATTCAATTTGGTGTATTCATGATGTTATGGCTATTATTTGTGACAAAATTGGGTCCAATACTTATGAAACATAGGAAACCCTTTGTATTGCGAGAAATAATGATAGTTTACAACTTGATACTAGTGCTCATCAATGCTTTCTATGTATACGAGTCCCTTAAATGGCTAGATTTGGGTAGCAAATCACTGGATCCACAGCTACCTGAGCTTCACGAGTGGTTGAGTAAAAATGAGAGCGTATTACCCAGAAGAATTTTCTATTTTAACACAAAATTCTTTGATTTATTGGACACCATATTCTTTGTGTTGAGAAAAAAGTCAAATCAGGTCTCATTTCTTCACGTTTATCATCATTTTATTGGTATTTAATGATGAATATAATTCGTATGCCTTTCATACATATATGTTCAGAATATTTGTGAACAAGATAATGATAATAATAATAAATTCATTTAGTATTAAATAATTTAATATATTATGTAAAACATTAAAATATGATAGTAACCTGAATCAATTATCAATGGAGTCCTGAAATAAGTGAATTATAGTAAATAGTCTATGAAAATAACTAATTTATTATACTCTACTATAATTATATAAAACTATTTTATAATAAATAATATTATATTGAATGATCTATAGTTCCAGTGATGGGTTACATAGTGGCCACTGTATGTCCGCAAACAGTTATTTTGGAGGCGTTTTGTTTGCTTAACTCTACTGTTCATACAATTATGTATTTATATTACTTTTTATCGGCATTTGGGCCCAAAATTCAGCCATATTTATGGTGGAAGCGATACATCACACGATTGCAGTTGATACAATTTGTGATCCTGGGCATCTATTGTTTACATAGCCTTATATTTAGGGACATTTCATCATATCCACTGCTTATCGTAATTCCAGTATCCATACAGCCCTTCGTATTTCTCTATATGTTTCTCAGATTTTATTTAAAAGCATATTATAAAATGTCTGAGAAAATTAAAGTTAAATAAAATTATACATTTAATATGTATTTATTGAATTAGTTATTAAAACTATTTTTGTAAACATTTTTGTGAATCACAAATTGTGATAATTGTTTTGTTTTCACAAAATGTAATTATATTGGTACTAATAATTAGTGATAAGCACATTTTTGACACAGTAATTACTAGAGTCACTAAATTGTCCTGTTTACAAATTATTCACAATAATCAATCAAACAATAAACTCTATCTACGTAATTCAAATTACCGTGGGATTATTCATCAGGATAAATATCTGTAAAGTCT